TGTTGCAACCCATGACCCCGAGTTTGAGATTTTGATGATGCCAAATAATGAGTGTTTTAGAACAACTTTTTATTGAATATTATTTTATTTGCTATTGTTCTTGAGTACTAACATTTCAGGAAGATCACAAGTAACTCAGGACGAAAGAAAGACTCAAGAACGGGTAGATAAGGAGTATGAGTCAGACATTATATTTTTTCTATTTATTTTATTTTTACTTTATTGAGTATGGCCACAAAATGCACAAGAGTAAGAGCAACCATGCACACACACAGGGGGAGAGTTTGTTTTTAACTGCAAAATGTAATAGAATTTCTTCTCTGTAGATCGTACTGTACGATTTTAATTTGTACCGTACGATCCAAGCTATGTGGACGATTCTGTGAATAGATCGTACTGTACGAATATCTTCGTACTATACGATATGTTCAGATCCAAAACCCTAGCCGTAGTTTAGTTTAAGTAAGTGATTTTGTGCCGTTCGTACTGTACGAACATGTTCGTACTGTACGATCTATTTTAAATACTTACTTAAATTAACCCGTGATTAGTGTATGAAATCCAGGCCTAATTAAATTTTGAACATCGTACTGTACGAACCAGATCGTACAATACGATGAACAAAGACGAAGTATGATCGTCCCAGATATCATCCTGGACGATCTCTTGGTTTTTGTCACATCGTACTGTACGATAGTAATCGTACCATACGATGAACAGAGACGACATCTGATCGTCAAGACCATCGTCCTGTACGAATAATATTTTATGGATCGTACCGTACGATATTATATCATACAGTACGAATTGATTTTGAACCGTTCGTACATCTTCATACCAGGACGACGTCTATTTATAAAGATCGTACTGTACGATGTTGAATCGTACTGTACGAACAGTAACGGCTACTTTTGAAATTAGAGGTTTTTGGAGCTATTTTTAGATGTCAATCAAGTACTTTTTCAGTAAGAATTATAGAGGGGGTGAACGTTGTTAGAGAGGGATTCCAAGAGAGAGAGCTCTAGAGAAGTTCTAGAGGGTTGAGAGAGGAAGGAGGAGGTGAGCGTTGTGAGGGAGAAAAGGTGTGAGGGAGATCACACGGTTGCTCCAAGCTTGCTGCATCTTGCTCCTCCTGTGGCCCTAGAAGGATTTGAGGGAGGATCTCAAAGGGAAAGGCTCGTCTACATTCGTTACCTCGAGGTTGATCTCTGCCTTCTCTAGGAGGGAGAAAAACGAGAAGGTTCTCTGCCGTCGCCAGGAGGGCGAAAACAGTTTGGCACTCCGCCACGCCGGGTTGGTGAAAGGGAGGTTTGTAAAGGCTTCTCCGCCTTGCCGAGGGGGGCAAAAGGAGAACTATTTTGATAGTGAAAATCTCGGAGCGGAGGACTCCGGGGAGTGGACGTAGGTTACATTTTGACAGAACCACTATAAAAATTCTTGGTGTATTTTTTCCTTATCGTCATTTACTTTTTACTTGCATTTAATTTTCATAACTATTGCATGGTGAAATTTGTGGAAGAAAACTTGCTAAAGTTTTTTTGTAAAATTTTAAAAATAACAAAAAAATTAGAACTCCTGTTTAGGGTTATTTTTATTAAGAAAAAGATTTTCACAATTCACCCCCCCTCTTGTCATTTAGTAATTTCAATCACATCGCTAATCCTATTAATTTTTTTTAAATCCCTTGCTTGTTTAGGATGCTCGAGCACTTAGCTTTGGTACTCATAGTTCTAAGGACATGGTTTGTGATGATGTGTTGCATTTCCCTTATGTTACCCAAGGGTTCGTTATTAACATCTAATTTAAACATTTTTAACCTCTTGCATCTTAAGGACAATAATTAATAATCTGTCTAGAAAACTTCGAAAAATTTTTGGGACTAGGATATGCCTTTGAATGACATGAAATTTAAAATATTTAAACTTAATGACATTTCAAACCGCCTAGAACTTTCTAGGAATTTTTAGGATTCTTTAAACCACTTAATTAATAAACCCTAATTTCACCCTCTAACTAAACCCTAATAACTTTAGAAAAATCTAATAAACTCAAATAAAATCCAAAATTTGATAATAATATAGCAAACCCTTTAGAATTTAATACCTAATCTAAGAAAATTAAAAGCCCTTTAATTAGACCTTAATTTGAATATTTATTTAATTTTGATTAAAAAATATAAATAAAAAAACTATTTAATTTCAATTAAAAACCACCCTTTTAATTGGAGAGTTTAATCAACACATGCCTATGATTCAATATGGTCATCGAAAAAGCACATAAAAGTTTCAAGTTAAAGAAGAATTTATGAATAACATCTAGTGAAGGCCTTCAGACAGTAAAAATACAAACAAGAACAAATTCGAAAGGGGCCGCTTGGGCATGCATGGATTTCCTCCTTCGAGGTCGAAAGAGAAGGTAAAGCATAATGTATAGTAGCATTAAGATCAAGAAAAATAGTAGAGCTAGAAATCCTGCCAATGCATTCTTAAAAGATCTCAATTGATTTTTTCCCCTAGAAAACTATAGTCATGGGTTATTTACCACAGGATTCGGTGAAAACACACCCAAAAACAAACAAGAACAAAACCAGAAAAGAAGTCTAAGGAAATGAGGCAAACTCGGACAAAGGCCGACCCATAAAAAGAAAAAAAAAATCAATAAAAAAGTTTAGGAGACTTCCCTGAGTTGATTGGTGAAGATCCAGTTAAGTACCGGCGGAGAACTAGCCGCAGATGAAGGGTAGGCAGCGAGAAACCAAACCCTAGCAAAGTGGGTTTTCAAAAAAAAAAGTTTATGTTAGGAAAACATATTCCTATCTTGATAGCTACTATTTCATCATTGAATAAAAAAGAATATTGTATGCTATATTATTAAATTTTCTTATTATGAATTAAAGAAAAAAATAATCACTTTTATCAGAGATTAAAGCATACAAGCCCACAGTCATTAATAACCTAATGAAGTCCCATCTTGAAAAATACAAACCAAATTAAAAAATATTTTTGAATGGAAAAGTAAGAGTAGAAAGACAGAAATGGCTGGAAGTCCAATTCCAGAATTTAATTAAAGAGCTCGGCCTTTTATGATATCCAAGCTCATCTCACTGGGATCAGTTGCTTGGAGCTCCACCTGAATGCCATCGAGCTCTCTCTTGAATCTATCCTTTGAGCTGGCATACAGCATCTTACTCCTCACCCTTGATGTATCAGGAGACCTGCATTATAGATAAATATAGAAAAAAAATAAGTACCACAGGCTAACATTTTAAGAGAAATTAAGTTTAACCGTTAAAAAACAGTAATTTATACTAATACTTTTTTGGGATTTCACATATATACGTCTTTATATTTATTTATATATTTCCAAATGTAATTACATCTAAAGTTATAAATTTATTTATATGAGATTCTGGTATAATCGAAATGATCATATCAAAAGATGCTATTAACATTAATTTATCTATAGTAAAATATATATTTTTAATGGTACATTTTGATGGATCTCACCGGATTAAATTGCAATAATAATAATTAAATCAATAAAAAATAAAAAATCTAAATTATTATCAATAATGAAATCAATATTTCAAAGCAGAATAAAACAAATCGAATTCAGTCCAATTTATCTGTTTTATCCAACCAAATAACTAAAACATTTTTGACAAAAAACAAAAAAATGCAAGTGGAATTTAGCAGATCGATCTCACCAGGCAATGAAGAAGATCTTGCTCTTCTGGCAATTCTCATCAGTAACAAAATCAAAGTCGAAAACAGCATAGCGACATTCATCAGGAGGAAGACAAGCAGTGAAATCATCGTAGCTCTCATCTGGTTGGCCGACTCTATCCACCATTATCTGCAAATTCTTCTCATCGATTTTGAAGACAATAAACCTGAAGCTTCTCTTCGCCTTTAACTCCATGAATTTGAGCTTGCACTCATCGACCACAGCCATCCCCGAAGCTGAGTTCGCCTACGTACGTGAACCATAAATCATATATATAGACATGTATGCATGCATTCTACGTCCTTAATAACATTATAACATAATATATTTTAATTTAGCTTATTTAAACATATTGAATGTTTGAATATTGAACCTATTGAATGCTATTTGTATATAAAAATATTTATTTAAAGTGTTGGAGGTGCATCATATGCTTTTGCATTGGATTGTAATTAAGTTAGATTGTTGTACTTTTTCGTATTAAATGTAAGTTTCATATATTAATCATTGAGACTGCAATACAGCAATTAGTTTCTGCTCACAAGATTTTGCTACCGGTCGCCATGTCGCTAATCCTGTTTGCAATATACAGGTATTTGCGATCTCTAAGAGACCACTTTGCCTACCGAAAATTACCTTCAACAATCGTGAAAGTGCGAGTTCGTAATCATTAGATCTATCATAGAATGTTAGAATTGATGTAGTGAATTAAAGGGGAAAAAAATATTCAGATCATGTAGTTGTGTACTTACCATTGCTATTGCAGAGAAATTGAGATGCCTCCTGAAGGAGGGAGGAGAGAAGGAGAGGGTGGATTGAGGAAGGGAAGATCCTTGGAATATGGAAGGGAGAGTGGTTAATTTGGGTACTGATTTGAGGAGGAAAACGTGGGGTGGAGAGGATTTGATGGAGTAAAACAAGGGGTGATGGGTTGGAGTTTTGGATTTTAATGGAAGTTAGACTGAGCCTTCAATTAGAATTTGTTAGCTGGTGTTCATATTAGTTCATATTAATAAGAATAATAATAATAATAACACTATTATCCAGCTGATAATATTAAGGTTAGAAGTGTAATTCTTATTTTAAAAAAGGTAATTAAAGAAATATTGTTTATATACTCTTTTTGAAATTTATTATGCATTATTAATAGCTATGCTGGTAAAGTTACCCATGCGCCAATAGCAGCAGTCAAAATCGATACAAAAAGCTGATTTTGGCGGCTGTTTTCAAACCGCCCCAAACAAAAGTGCTGCGAATAAACATATTCTTCAGTAGTGCAAGAGCATCTTTTAGTATTAACAAAATTATTTTGCAAAGATACTAAATTATCAGTTGCAAATAAAGATTAAAAGTATTTTTAACTTTTTTAAAATTTTTGATAAAACTCATACAAGGGCTTATGAGTTAATTCATCAAATATGATTACAAGTCCTTAAAGGGATCAAATGCTCACTAAAGTTGAAAGAGCTATACAATAAAAAATAAAAAAAAAACATAAGGAGTCAATGATCCCTACTAAGATACAAGATTAAAATGAAAAAAAAAAAAAAAAAAAAACAGTAGGCATGGAGCCAACACCCAAAAATATGCCAAAGCTCAAATAAATTTTGAAGCCCAATAAGATAGTAGTAGGAATAGCCTAAAAAAGAAGCACGAGCAAAAATAAGCACAAAAAAGAAGGAAAATCAATAAAAACCTCCAATACATTAGATCCACTTTCTAGATCCCAGCACTAAGCAACCAGGTCACGTTGAGCCCATCAACAGATCAATAAAACCAAAGATCCAAAAGACTATGAAAAGATCATTCCCAAATAATCTCTAGGAGAGAGTAAGCACCATGCAAAGCACAGTTAGTACATTCATCATTCCCCAAAACCACTACAAGTAATTGACATACTTCACTACAGGAAAAATGCCCAATACCGGCGGTTCTAACCGGCGATTTATGGACCACCGGTTTTACCGGCGGCATGGCCGGCGGTGTGACCGTCGGCTTTTAACGATGGCCGAACCGGTGATTTTGCTACGTTAAGCCGCCGGTAATAGCGGCGGTCCCTAAACCGATGGTAAACTGCCGGACATCAATATGAACCGGGATATAATAAAGAATAAATATGATGCTCCTTACTTATCCTGGAAGAAGATCCCAAAGCCAGTTAGAGATATGTG